ATATGTATAACTTTTTTATATTTATTATCAGGAACAGCAAAACAATACTTCAACGAAGAATACTGAAAACTACGAATATAGTAACTTTTGTTATAAACAATTAAGAAATAAATAGTAAATATTCAACTTCAAAGGAACTATTTAACCTGAAATAATAATGACTACATGTATAATATGTTTAAACTTCCCTTTAGCATTAAAAATAAATGAGAAGCATTTGTACTCATTTTCATCACAATCTTTAAATATTGTTAAAATTCTAGACCACAGTGACATAGAAATATTTTTAAAACAATACGTACAATATTTCTATATACATAAACTACATATTTGTTATCAATAAAAAACAACGTATCGTAATAACTGCATTAACAGTGTTATTAAAACAATTAATAAATAAGTACTATACCAATTTTCTCAACAAACAAAATAAATTAAATTGATTTTACAAATATATTTAGGAAATTCTAGCAACTGTTCTGAACGAATTTTGTTTGAATAGTTTTTTGTATTAAGTACATAATTCCAAAGAAAAAAGTCCTATGCCACTTTTATGAGTATTTTGTTATGGGCTAGGATGTGTTTAATTTTCCATTTTCCTTTTCTTTTTAATTGCAAAATTCTGAGGATGTCTATAAGAAACGTGTTTTCTTAGAGCATCTCGGCTACGGGATACATGGGAACACGAATGACAAGCATGATATCCTTCCTGATGAGTTTCAAGATGAACTTTTAAGTTGTACTGATTGCTTAAAATTTTCCCACAGAAATCACACTTGTAAATCAATTCCTTTGTTAATTTTTTTTGTGGCTGATTGATGGTACATGTTGGTTTCATTTCCGGTTTGAAAGACACGTTCTGTTTAAAATCAGCTGTAATATCTGAAAAAAAAAATAAATTTATCATCATAAAGTATATGCAAAACGTGATATTATCGTCAGATACAGAGAAAATTTAAAACGCTTAAGATAAATCTAAATAACCACAATTTCAAATAGTATTTCAGTAATGAATCGTTAGAAATACGGACATTGGCAGTAAATTAAAGTTATGCTCATGTTTTATTTATGTTGACCGTAATTTTCTCTGATTACAATTAGCAATTAAAAACAAATTCTAAGCTCATCTACGAATAATTTGTTTCTTCAAAAAAAATTTGAAATATTAATTTATGTATTTTACCTTTCTTCAAAGGTTCGTCAATTCCTGGATGTACAGTGGGTGAAATTGTTTCAGGTTTTACAATATCTCTACTATCATCTTCTCCTTCTGTCCATTCTGGATAAACCTTATTATTTTTACATTTCGTTAGATCACAGCCTTCTATAGGATTGTCGCTACTGCTTTTGAAATTATTGTTACCTTCGAATGCCACCTGTTCGTTTGAGTACAGATTGTAATAATCTGGAAACTGGGAAAATTACATACTGGAATTACATTATTATCGGTTTTGGTATTTGAAACGATAGTACCTTTAGATCACTTAATCCTTGTATTTTGAGGAATTCCGCTACTGATAACAGCCTGGGTATTTGGGCACTTGTTACCAAGCATTGACCATAGTAAATGTACGATATAATGGCCTTTAGATCGTCATATCTTATGTTATGAAGAACCACTATCGGTTGTTGATTTGTTGGAGTATTCTGAAGAATTTGAAAATTAAAATGTAATTAGTCTTTTTAAATACAACACTCATGAGCAAAAGATAATCATTTTGTTTAGAGTTAATGTATACGTATTTATATTTTATTATTTATAGCAGTAGGGAATATTTCTCTTAAATTAGTGATTCTGTAGAAAATTAATTCCGATTTAAGGACATGCGTATATCTGATGCCTTAATTAATACACAAATAAACCTTAAGTCATTAAAAAAATATGTGAAACACTTTTAAGTAAGGAAAAAACAAAAAACGACAGTAATTTTAATAATTTGTAGATTAGGTTTGGGTAGAATAACATTTTCTCAAATATTAAAAATACCTGAAATAACTGCAGAAAGTAAGTGCTACACGATGCTAGAATAAGTTTGTGGACCTTGATGCTTTTCCCTTCTGCGGACAATGTGGCGTCTGTTAAAATTTCAGCGTCTAAAAAACGAGGCAAATTGTAAGCCAAAGTGCTGCCGTGATAGTGCCATTTGAGAACAAAATTTTGATGTTCCATTGGTTCTGAGCGATTTTTTTAACAATTTCGAATGCGCAATGAGTACTACACAACACACTACAAATAAAAAACAACTTCGTGCCCGGACAAAATGAGCAATTTTCTCGTCTAGCCGGGAAAACAAGTGTCCATAATTATCCAGGCTTTGTCTATTTATAAAACAACTGGAAAATAAACATGTGCCAGGGATTTCGCTCAACTATAAATATATCATTTGTGTTTGATAATACTATTGCAAAGGCACGGGTCCTCGATAAACACTTGAGTACCTTTATATGCTTACAATTTTATTTTAAAGATTAATTTTGTCTGAAGGCCAAAAATCCAATCACAAGTACGTGTTGTAGATTTACGTAATTTAAATTAAAATATTTACGCTAGCGCAGATGAACTTATATTTTTGAACTGCTGGAATAGCGAATGTTCAAAACACTTCCCAACAAATCTAGTCCAATCGTAAAGTAAAGACAGACTATTATGCCTTAAACATCAAGACTATGATCAATTTGAATTTCAATCATTGAAGTATTTACTCAAATAACGAGCACGCCGTTTTTTATTAGATGTTTGAAATTTACCAACTACTTTTAGGTATGTATACCTAGGCATGTTACCCTGGTTAGATTGTATTAGTTTAGAATATTTTAAAATCGATATATAAATCAGCAGAAATGCAGATATAAAATAAATATGTTATTTATAATATAAAAACTAATTTATAATTTTTTGATCTAACTGAATCAGCCCAAAAATTTTTTTGTTTTGAAATAAACATTAATAGAAATAATTAAATTCAATGAAAAAAGGCTAACGGACTAATTGCATCTAGGCCCAAAATAAACGGAAATAATTGTAATTGTCTCTCAAAATGATTATTGTCACACGTGAGACATTTCTCCAATTTTTGGAGTTCTGCCAATGATAGGCTAAGGGTGGGGGGGTAGGTAAAGGGGCCGTCCTTTAGGTGCCTTTAGTTTTGGTGGCTTCCAAATTTCAAGGATTATTTTCAATTAGATACCAAATATCAAATAAGTCCAGTAAGCATGAGGCAGTTGCAACTCTGGAATTAGAAGCGCAGTATGTATGCCAAATATAGTACAATTATACTAAATGGTAAAAGATACAGCCTCATGGTGCATTAAAAATAGTATTCAATAAAAAAGTACGCACTTTCAAAACGTATTTTCATTTTAACTCACTGACTGACTGTCAGTTTAGAACCTATAGAATACTTTTCGTTGACCTGAAAGTTTTAAATTTGTTAGGAAGACGGATCTCATAACACGATTAAGGAGAAAAATTCGAATTTATATATGAAGTAATAATTTCTAACAAAATAAATTTGAATAAACTAAGTTATTCTATGAAAGCTGTTTAAAATCCGAAACCGAATGATCCTACAAAGCTTTTAAGATAATTTTTTATGATTTCCAGGGCGTGAAATTCACACACACACTTGTCAATTGTTTTTTTGAACAAAATGTCATTATTTCAAATGGAAACGTTTCTTGATTTTCTCCACTTTTGCTGATCATAATGTTTGAATATTACTGTAGATATCTAAAGTGTTGAAACGTATCATTAAAAAAGTTTTATAAAAAGATTAAGAAAATTTTCCGCTAAATCTTTGGGAAGGTTAAATTACATTTTAGTCGTAACGTCGTAGTTGTGGAGTAAGTATCTATACGTTGAAGCGGTGGTTTCCAAGATGTCGGAAAAAGTGGTAGTTTATCGAGAAAACCAGCATAACTATTATCATTATTATGAAATAGTAAATGCAAAAGATCCTCCAAAATCTTTGCATCCCAGAACTGCTCTTACCGATTATAAGAATAGAAATATAGTTTCTTTACATTCGCTTACAACCGGTAAAAAAGCCCAGATTCAGTATCACAGAAAAACACAGGAGATCAGAAAGAGACTAGATTACCAAGACGATGATAAAGAAAATATAATCACGACAGATTTTGAATGCATTAAAAAATCAGAAGAATGCAATGAATATGGACAAAGTGGAAAACATTATTACCCACAGAATGATAACAAAAATGGAAAAGTGTCCATGAAACCAGCGCAGACAGAGAAACCACGTTCCTCAAATGCAAATCTTAAAAACGAAATAAGAATTAATAGTAATAATGAAAAGAAACCTGTACAAAATAAACCTCAAATACGAACGTCTAATGAACAATACAAACGACAGCCCCAAAAGGAAGATGTTCCCAAGTCAGTTCGAGTACCCAGGCCACCAATAAGTGCTCCAGTAACCAAAAAAATTGAAAGTATTCCCAGACTATCAAATGCTCGTGGTGGACCCACAAAACCTCAATATCTTTCTGTACCTCCAAACACTGCACCCGTAAAACCTATTCTCAAATACGTGAATGCAAGGGAAGATATAAGAATATCGTCCGAAAAAAAGATATCCTTTAAGGATGCATCTAATAAAGAAGCAAATGACTTGCCAAAAGACCAAGAGCAAGATGAAGAAACAAATAGAGTTACTAGAATTTATAAAGTAGATATGCGACGTGTAACCGTGAGAAGAAACATAAATGACGACGATGCTGACCATAATGATGAATTATGGACCAAACCGGACAATGCTGATGTTACGTGGATTGAAGACGAATCAGAAAAATTGAAATTTTTAAATAAGAGAAAATTCACTGAAAGTTTTCAATCTTCGTACGGTAAAAATTTAATATTCAATACGCATTTTGTTTTTTTCTTTTACGTTTATCTTCTTTTGCAGATGGATATGCTATTGATAAGCTTTTTTATCCGTACATAGAAGTATGTTTAATAGACGACTAACTCTTCTGTACTTTTTTACTAATTATACCAAACTTTTATTTTAGGATGTAGTTACGTACTTGAGAAGGTTGGAGTACAAATACGTTCTAAGAAACAGTCTCTTTGGTAATCGACCAGAAAATGGAAGTCCACAAACCAGAATGCTTGCCATTAACGTGATGTTGCGCCTAACAGTAAGAAAAAATTAGTAAAACGTTGAATGACAGTTTGAAAAAATAATTTATTAACTAACATTTAAAGAACAAGACAAACAATTAAGAAAATGTACTAAGTGAAAGATTATACGAAATAGTTACAATCATTTCGTGACACTGTAGTTTCTTCAGGGAGAAGATAAAGAAGACAATAAAATTAAAAATAACTACAAATATTTTTAATGACTAATTTTGGTAGAAAGTGGGAATTCTGAGAGAATATGAAGCTTCAAATGTACGTACTTCAAAAGAATATTTACGAAAAGGTGTATACGTGGATTAAATTACGCAAATTTAAACGAAAAAAGACTAACTTATGCCACAAGATGAAACGATTTTGAGTGGATTATTAAAAAAGTTACGAAAAAAAAACGACAACAACAAAAATTGTTCTGTTATTAACTGCAGAGTTCGAAAAAGTGAAAATGCAATTCAACAACGCTTTTAATCCAACTGGATTTTTGCTGGGCCAACATAATTCTAACTAAATCCATCAAAAATTTAGAAATATAATGATTTTTCGAAGAAATGAAATTATTTTTTTAAATGCTCAAGAAACATTAATTATTTAAATTGGTCACTGTTCACTATAAATCAACAAAAGTTTTTACATATTTATGTATGTAGCTGAACTTAACTTTGATTAGGTCCAACATTTGAGATCGAGACAATGAACTTATTAAGTTATTATTATAATGGATCCAGCTGTTTGAGGGATTACAATCCCTAATCCGCATCTATACAATTAAAAACATTTAAGCATATATTTACATATTTACATAAAATCATCCAAAATTATTTGTTAATCGTGAAACACAAATTCTGTTTCTGTTTATTAATTTCATTCATTTTAAATTTTCAGGATCTCAAACGAATTTCGCTGGGGACATTTTTAAAATCAGTTATTTTATTCGATAATATATTACACATGAAACTTATTGCACCAAATAAACAATTATTAGTAGGACTGGTGTGCTTGTGGCTTTCTACTAAAAACGAATGCGGGATTATTCGAAAGGTAGGATACGTAAAAAAATAATAATAGGCATATATATATACATAAAAGAAGTGTATACCAAAATGTCTTCTTACAAAATAATGCGTATTTGTAGGCATCAGAAATAGCTCATTTAATAAGCGACAGGTACACAGTGAAAGAAATATTAGAGATGGAAATGGCAATTCTGACTTATTTTAAAGGAGATTTTAATTTCCCGGACCCCACTGATTTTATCGCTTATATTATTTATAAATGGTTAGGATTTGAAAGTACGGTAAGTTAAGTTAATCAAGACGATTTTTTTTAACCACAATCCAACATTCAAGAAGTAAAAATAAAATGCATAAAGCGAGTGTTACTAACCGTCATTCAGGCATTTTGTACTCGAAAAGTACACTGCAGTTCTTTAAGAATTTTGACTACCCTCCCCCTTTTAAACGCCCCGTAAAGTTTTGCTTTAAACCCTCCCCCCTCTTAAACTTACAAAACATCGCTTGTTACAATTTTCATCGACTTTGCAGTAATAGTAAATAAAACAGTACATTTTTATCAACTATCAATACATTCAACATGCCCAGCCTTTTGGATGTATTATGTGATCTTATTCTAATTAAAAAATATGTAATGCTACGTAATAAAAAATTATTATTTTATTAATTATTATTAGGTAATTTTTGATCTTTCCTAGTTTCTCGCATTGATAAGTCTGATGTTTGTGAAAATATATAGCTTGCATCGTTTAATATTTTCTTCAATGTTTTATTCTTTGTAAGCGAAGAAAAAGTATAATTATAACAAAAATAAAAATCAGGGAAAAGTAGATAAGTTGTATTGGAAAACTGGGAATTATCAGGAAAATGTAACATCATTTCTGTGTGTTCACGCTATTAACTAAAAAAATCGGTTGTCTGTAAAGTCGGTTTACTGACGATAGTTGAACGTGACAACGTCATAAGAAAATACTGATGGAATGGTTTCATTTTTCAAAAGCAAAATTTTAATTTTATTTGTTTGATAGATATTTTGTATGGATATAAAGAAGGAGGTAAATGGAAATGTATTATTGTATAGCAGCTGTCCACGCGGACGCATCGCTCACTCAAGTAGGAGAGAGACAGATGTCGAACGCAGCCGAACGCGGAGGCCGATTGTGCCTCTTTGTCGCTCGTTCCGCGCTCTCGCTTGCACTTCAAGCCTTAAATGGAACGCCTCAGAGCGAGGTAACGCCGCATGAGTCATGTTTTTTCGTGCGTGCAACCGGCTCCATCGAATTATAAGACGTTGTCACGTCAAAATTTTGATTTTTTAATCCCTATAAATGAGGCATGACTTTTTTAACCCTATTGATAAATCCAGATATCAAAAAGATACCCTTTAGTCGTATCGTATACATCAATTTTCCGACGATTAATTATTTTGTAACAATGACCATGGTATTTTTTTTCAGGTATTTAATCATATAGTGAATTACATTTTAATTTGCTTTTGCATGCATAGCGGTTTTAGTACCGTCTCTCCATCACATCAGGCTGCAGCAGTAGTTCATTTGGCATCACAATTTTTCACTAAGAACCACGACATAAAACCATGGAGCGTTCTGTCGGGATCCGCATGTTATTATAGCGAAATTGAAATAAAAAATGTACAAGTTGTAATGCATAAACAAGTTATAAAATTTACAACTTCCAATTCTCAGTTCTATCCGTATACAATGTACTCAACCGCTGATAAATTAAAACTGAGCAGCATACTTGCAAAAAAGATAGAGAAACGTTCTAATTGATTCAGGACCTGTTGTGTAAACACTTGCGCTGGCGCTTTTAATGTGTGACCTAGATATAAATAAGTAAGAATAATTGCGTTATTAATATTTTTAAGTTTTTCTTTTCTGTATGTGTGTTCATTTTTTTAATGTTTGAAAAGTCTTAATATTTTTTATTACATTTCTGTTTGTAAGGGAATAAATCTGTAGTTTCTTCAGGGAGAAGATAAAGAAGACAATAAAATTAAAAATAACTACAAATATTTTTAATGACTAATTTTGGTAGAAAGTGGGAATTCTGAGAGAATATGAAGCTTCAAATGTACGTACTTCAAAAGAATATTTACGAAAAGGTGTATACGTGGATTAAATTACGCAAATTTAAACGAAAAAAGACTAACTTATGCCACAAGATGAAACGATTTTGAGTGGATTATTAAAAAAGTTACGAAAAAAAAACGACAACAACAAAAATTGTTCTGTTATTAACTGCAGAGTTCGAAAAAGTGAAAATGCAATTCAACAACGCTTTTAATCCAACTGGATTTTTGCTGGGCCAACATAATTCTAACTAAATCCATCAAAAATTTAGAAATATAATGATTTTTCGAAGAAATGAAATTATTTTTTTAAATGCTCAAGAAACATTAATTATTTAAATTGGTCACTGTTCACTATAAATCAACAAAAGTTTTTACATATTTATGTATGTAGCTGAACTTAACTTTGATTAGGTCCAACATTTGAGATCGAGACAATGAACTTATTAAGTTATTATTATAATGGATCCAGCTGTTTGAGGGATTACAATCCCTAATCCGCATCTATACAATTAAAAACATTTAAGCATATATTTACATATTTACATAAAATCATCCAAAATTATTTGTTAATCGTGAAACACAAATTCTGTTTCTGTTTATTAATTTCATTCATTTTAAATTTTCAGGATCTCAAACGAATTTCGCTGGGGACATTTTTAAAATCAGTTATTTTATTCGATAATATATTACACATGAAACTTATTGCACCAAATAAACAATTATTAGTAGGACTGGTGTGCTTGTGGCTTTCTACTAAAAACGAATGCGGGATTATTCGAAAGGTAGGATACGTAAAAAAATAATAATAGGCATATATATATACATAAAAGAAGTGTATACCAAAATGTCTTCTTACAAAATAATGCGTATTTGTAGGCATCAGAAATAGCTCATTTAATAAGCGACAGGTACACAGTGAAAGAAATATTAGAGATGGAAATGGCAATTCTGACTTATTTTAAAGGAGATTTTAATTTCCCGGACCCCACTGATTTTATCGCTTATATTATTTATAAATGGTTAGGATTTGAAAGTACGGTAAGTTAAGTTAATCAAGACGATTTTTTTTAACCACAATCCAACATTCAAGAAGTAAAAATAAAATGCATAAAGCGAGTGTTACTAACCGTCATTCAGGCATTTTGTACTCGAAAAGTACACTGCAGTTCTTTAAGAATTTTGACTACCCTCCCCCTTTTAAACGCCCCGTAAAGTTTTGCTTTAAACCCTCCCCCCTCTTAAACTTACAAAACATCGCTTGTTACAATTTTCATCGACTTTGCAGTAATAGTAAATAAAACAGTACATTTTTATCAACTATCAATACATTCAACATGCCCAGCCTTTTGGATGTATTATGTGATCTTATTCTAATTAAAAAATATGTAATGCTACGTAATAAAAAATTATTATTTTATTAATTATTATTAGGTAATTTTTGATCTTTCCTAGTTTCTCGCATTGATAAGTCTGATGTTTGTGAAAATATATAGCTTGCATCGTTTAATATTTTCTTCAATGTTTTATTCTTTGTAAGCGAAGAAAAAGTATAATTATAACAAAAATAAAAATCAGGGAAAAGTAGATAAGTTGTATTGGAAAACTGGGAATTATCAGGAAAATGTAACATCATTTCTGTGTGTTCACGCTATTAACTAAAAAAATCGGTTGTCTGTAAAGTCGGTTTACTGACGATAGTTGAACGTGACAACGTCATAAGAAAATACTGATGGAATGGTTTCATTTTTCAAAAGCAAAATTTTAATTTTATTTGTTTGATAGATATTTTGTATGGATATAAAGAAGGAGGTAAATGGAAATGTATTATTGTATAGCAGCTGTCCACGCGGACGCATCGCTCACTCAAGTAGGAGAGAGACAGATGTCGAACGCAGCCGAACGCGGAGGCCGATTGTGCCTCTTTGTCGCTCGTTCCGCGCTCTCGCTTGCACTTCAAGCCTTAAATGGAACGCCTCAGAGCGAGGTAACGCCGCATGAGTCATGTT